GAGCCTTACATGCAATACTACGCCTGATATGATGTACAGCAAGTAAACTGACAACACAGAGCTGGAACAGGAGTCATTTTCTGTGTGATGTATTTGACTCTGCAGATGAGAACTTAAATAAATCACCCGCAGCCTCTTTGAAGGCCAACCAGGGATTCATACAGATTAATGGAATACGTATCTGGCACACAGCGCAATTTATAGACCAACTTACCGGTAAAATATTATAACCCACATTCTTTCCATTATTAAAAACTGCATCTCGCCGACCGTTTCTAACCTACTTATGTCCCACAGTTTCCATGGCTACCACAAGATAGATAAAATCGAATGCACATTTCAAGTGCAACTTCCCTTATCAGAGAGAAGATGATAATTCTGCCTCCGCACATTGTTATAATGGACTTCAGCGCAAGCAGTAATTTCACCTCAACAGTCGTGTCTACAAATAGCAGTAATGAACAATATCATTGTGCAATATCTTCTCATACTATAGGAATTCATATTGCCATTCATGCCAACTGCTAACATCATTGTCAGACAAAGACCAGAGGAAAGGCCTTGTGTGAGAGCCTAGTGATTGAGGCTACATCTATGCTCATAGCAACACTGGTCTTTTTGGCTCTAGCCATGTAATGCAGTATGCCATTTCTTCCTACAACACATGCACAATAGTTCTTACAAATGGAACTAATCCCCTATCAAGAATGTAAAATATTGGATTCATGCATGCAACCAGAATCAATGTGTGAACACAATCACACCTTCACAGTTGCTAACACAGAAAGACACATGATGATCTAGGAAATGAGATACACTGCGTATTAAGACTTTTTTATGAGCGTCCCAAATGACACCCTAGAGTGAAGTGCAATATTAAGTAGTGTGCTATGAAGTGAATAGAATGTGCATTTGGAACGCACTCCAAAGATGGTTCTCTTGTTTTCTTGGCCACACAGACCTTCACCCATAGATTTAGAATACTAGAATGGACATGAACCTTCTTATGATGGTCCAAACGTCAGCCATTTTGGTCAGCGAGTTGGTCAACCATGGGTTGCTAGTGCTGTGATAAGATAACGTAAAACATCATCCTAATATCCCACAACTCTTTGCAACAATGGGACCAGGGACCAGCTAAGCTAGTTAGCAACTGCGCTGGTCTTAGATTTGTGACGACGTTATCTTACCTGTATATTTTCGACCTAGTCTGCAGAGACAGGAAGAGAAGTGAATGTCCCTGTGAGAACAAAGCAGCACAGGATAGGCCTGCTAACAATATCCTTATTTCCATCAGCGCTCAACAAGGACATGCAGGCCAGCCAGAGCACACAACACAATACCTGGCTGCAGAAGGAAGATGACATCATTTCTCCTCAATGAAATGATGTATTGTCTTCTCTTTAGCAGTCAACTTCAAACACACAAGATCAACTTTATTGTGAGGGTGAAAACAAAGCCTTTGTAAGCGGAAGAGAGATCATTTTAACATGAAATATAAACCCTGTCTTACGTAAGTTTCGCCCTAGAAAAGAGAAAACAGATCATTGTTTTTTGCTGACTTCAATATCAAAGGCAAATCTGACCAGCATTGTTAGGGACTTGTGTAACTTTTGCCCAATATAAAAAGTTTATCATTCATACAATCAGTACATTAGGTTACCCTGGGTATTGTATCATTACACACAATGTAAAAAGCAGGTTTGATCCCCTCAATTGTTACACCGCAGTGGCAATGCTTGGTTTCTATGTCTGTGAAAAATGGCCTCAGTTCCTGGACAGTGAACAACTACACCAAAAAGACTACAGTACGAAACGCTGCGACTATACCAGGTCTAGATCTTGTACGCCACCTCCTGGCCGAATACAATATGACACCCAGATATCTCCAATAAACCGTGTACATTAGGAACACCTGCTCTTTCCATGACATAGACGGACCAGGTGAAAGCTATGATCCCTTATTGATGTCACTTGTTGAATCCACTTCAATCTGTGTAGATAAAGGAGAGACAGATTAGAGAAGGATGTTTAAGCCTAGAGACAATTTGACACGTGTCAAATCAAATCACATTTTATTTGTCACATACACGTGTTTAGCAGATGTTATTGCGGGTGTAGCGAAATGCTTGTGCTTCTAGCTCCGACAGTGCAGTAATATCTAACAATTTCACAACATATACCCAATACACACAAATCTAATCCAACAGTTTTCCCCGGCTGTATGTAATGATACAAAACACTTTCTGAGCTAATAATGTAAAAAATAATACATAAAAAAAAAAAAATACCGCAAAGGATATCCAGCAAACTTGACACAACTGTGGGAAGCATTGGAGTCAACATGGGCCAGCATCCCTGTGGAACGCTTCGACACCTTGTAGAGTCCATGCCCCGATGAATTGAGTCTTTTCTGAGGCCAAAAGGAGGGGGGGGGGGGGGGGGGGTGTAACTCAATATTAGGAAGTTGTTCTTAATGTTTTATACACTCACTGTATAAGACAATGAACCACTAGAAAAGATAAAAGACACAAAGAATACAGTAATGTCCTTGACTGATGTGATGCGAGTCATCAGTCGTCCATCCTTTACCAGACTGTTTTGTGTTGCCAGTACAGATGTAAACGCCTTACCCCAGCCCACACAACAGTCATTGTTTTGAGGGTGTTACTGGCAGCTTTGAGACCTAACATGAAAATACACACATGCAGATTCATTTAGCCCACCTTCTAATCATAATAATTAGGGACTATTTTCTGGCATTTTTAGTAATCATGAGCTATGTGGATCAATATGTTTGATGAATTATTTGAGTGTCTGGGTGTGTAAATGTGCACCTGCTCTGGTTCATACAAAAATATGAAACATGTTCAAATAATACAATTTGTCCCTGTTTAGTTTATTTAATGATGCCTCCCTCCTAGGCACATACCTGTTCCCAATAGCTTAAGAAACATTTTATAAATGGTAAATGAAACGATATAGTGAACATAACTTTAAACTGAAAAACTAGGTATATACACTCACTGCAGCAAATGAACCCACAATTTCACCTATCATCTCTCGTACATCAGAATGTGTATTTCAAAGTACCAGAACCAAACTGTTCGTTACATGTGATCAGTAAAACCAGATTGTGCAAAACATTTGAAGGACTGTACCTAAGACAGGTCTGCTCAAATGAAACAGCAAGACAACTTTTTAAAGTAAGATTATTTCTCCTTTTAAGTATAGTTATTTTATCAACTTTCTTTTTGCATGGATACTTAAAGCTACTGGGATGAATTCTATTCATTGGGAAAAGCAGTGACAGATTTCATCATGATTTCCTTTGCAGCATATTAACATCATTCATTTGACCAGACAATCAGCCTCCTGGGAAACATTAGCATAATATACAATCCTCCCCCAAAACACAGTCACATCATTCTCACTGACTACATTAAAATGAGGCGCAATTGAACAACTTCTCCCCCCTCAATAAAGCAAAGAAAAACAAGTCAAGTACTTCAAAAGCTAGCAATCAAATTCTAAGGCAACATGTGAACTAAAAACAAACATTTAGGAGAGGGATAGGTCTCTCATTCTTTTATATATTCCCATACCAGATAAAAGTATAATTCCTAGCACAAAAACAGTGTCTTACTTATACAAAGTAAAACTATAGAATAAAAACAAAGAAAGAAACAAACATAAAATACTGAAGTCACAATAAACCTCATACATAGTTTATTTTACTTAAGCAGGTTGAGAAAATAAGTCTCATATTTTGCTTTTGTTGTTGAAAGCAGACTATAAATATTGCATCTCTGTTTGAGACCCAACCCACGTTTCTATACAGGTACTTTAACAAGCCAAGGCATTCCTTTTTTATCCACAAACACATCCTGGATGTACAAGGCATATCTAAAATACATCCCTCGTTAAAATGAATGCAACCTACATTAAATACTTTCAGATAGGTTGTCAGGTTGTGGTGGATTTCTTCTGTAATGGGTCACGCTGCCATAAAAACTAGGGGCAAGAACAGAGACGCCTACATTATATGGATACAAGGGTGGCTATTTTTTCATTAGAGGGTTAAAAAACACACTTAGAACTTAGTGATCAAACAGTCTGAAATACATTCTGCTCGTAATTAATTAAAAACACAAAATTCTGAATGTAATTCACACTTTTTGTCTAGACCATCTTTGTTTTTCACATTCTCAAGGACACATGGCCATTAGCCAGTAAGGAAGACAGGTCAGGGTCAGACTAACCAATGTGAGGAGGGGAGGCCACACACTGACCAGGCAGCCCAGGGGAGGGTCCGAGGGGCCCTGAGAACAATAGAGACAAACATATTTCATACCCCTCACTGGCCTCCCCTCCCATCAGGCTCAGTGGAACACAAGGCAATAGCAGTTTACTGTACAGTACTCACACCTCAAGAAGCATCCTTCCTGACCCAAAGGATGGCTGACCATCGAGGGCTAGAAGCCCACCCCTCTGCCCTCTGTGTTCACTGAACCTAGGGCAATCACAACCTCGGGATAACAGCTCTTTATGGACAGAGAGGGTAGATGGATGCTGATTGTTTTGGTCTGCTATCAAAGAATATACTGTAAACATGTGCAAACGTATAGACACAGAGAGAGAGACTTTCCATAACAGCCTGCTTGAGTGCACACCTCATTGTCCATTCCATGTTAATCAGCAGTGTGTCTATGACGCAACATGCATGTATACAGTAAAACACAGGTCTCTTTACAGTACAAGGTAAAACAAGATCCACTGGAACCTACAGGGCCCAGACGCTAGTGGGAGGGGGCACATAGGCTGAGATCATAGTTGTCATGGGGCAGAGGGAGGAGGAGAGATTTGGGTTTCAGACCAGACTACAGGTGACCCAGGACAGTAGAGGAGAGGAAGAGGACGAGAGCAGGTGATATGACATGGGGACATTTTGTTTGTGTGTCTCTGCAGCATAATCCAGGTAGGGGCCAGCTTGTGGCTCATCATGAGGTGCCCTGTCTCTTCGGTTGTTGGGCGCGGATCAGTTCCAGCTGCTTTTTGCACTTCTGGTAGTAGGTAGACAGAGACTTATTCTCCTCCTGCAGCTTCTTGTGCTCCTGGACCAGGCGGGACGTGTTCTGCTGGTCCTTCTCATCTTGGTCCAGTTCAGCGATCAACTCCTTCCTGTAGATATAGATTGGTTTTATTTACACATACAACATGTGCCACAATGGTGCACTTTACAATACAGAAAACCTAATTGCAGTGTAGATTACATGAGAAAATACAAACATGACTAAGATTCAAAAGAGAAATGCATCGGATAAGAGAAGAGAGAAAAGCGTACAGAATGAGCGCAAGAAAAATAGGAAAGGGATATGACATTAAAGCTGCAATATCTAACTTTCTGGGTGACCCGACCAAATACACATAGAAATGTGAGTTATAGATCTGTCATTGAAAGCAAGTCTAAGAAGCGGTAGTTCTGTTCTATATGCTCCATTTCTATGCTTCCCGTTCTTTAAGTTTCGTTTTTGAGTCTTCTAATTTTGGTTTTGTACACCAGCTTCAAACAGCTGAAAATACAATATTTTTGGTTTAATTAAAATATATTTCATAGCTGTTTGGATGGTACAATGATTCTCTACACTATCCATTGCTTATTTTGTCACCTAAACTGAAATTAGGCGAACTATTACAATTTTAACAACCAGGAAATGGCGGCTAAATTTCTGCATATTGCGACGCCATTGATTAAGACAACTGTGAATTACTCTGTGCTTGACAGAGGAATAACATCACATGCAATAAGCACAGCTGAGAGGCTGGTGGATGACGGAGCACCAAAGCATCGAATCGCTTCTGTGAGAGAACCGCTGATTCCACAAATGTGGTAATTCCTCGCTAAAGTCATGGTCTATGAATAGGAGATTAGCTCTTTATCCAAACACAGTCAGTTGTTCCACTACGCTCAACTTCCACAGCTTAGCAGGGCTGTTTGAATTGCATTTGTCATCTAAATTAGTAATTGCCTTTGGGTGGACCTCTGCCCTCAGCATAGTCATATGCCCAAGTCTAAATGCATGTTTCACATCTGACGGAGCTGCTTCTTCTGTTAGTCACAAGACAGCCCACCCCTTTAAATGGGGAGACGTTTTTGTCTGCTTGGATCGCCCAGATGTGTACGGTCACATTCAGCAGGGCCTACAGTACAGACTAGAGTTAATTACACTGAACTCTGTAGTGCTAACAGAATGAAAGAACAGCACATTACCTCAGCCCTTTGGTGGTGGCTGAACGCTTGCCCTACAAGATGGAGAGGTACAGTAAAGGTTCACCACTTACCTTCTCTGGATCAGCAAGGCAATTTCTGTCTGCACTTTCAGGTACTCCTGGGCCATTTTACAGTGCTGCTCAAACACAGCCATGGACTCTTTGGAGTTTGGGCAAGGAGCGAGGGGCTGAAAATAAACCATGTGATTCATTGATTTAGGGAGCATATACCCAGTTAGCTGATAAAAATACATTTAGCAATAGTCTCTCAGATTCATCTGCGCTTTTAAAAATACACAAAATGTCTCACCGCCGTTGCCAGTGGGTATTTATAGACATTCCTCTTTTTAGATAGAATAATTTTCTCACTTTGACAGAGGTTATCCTGCCCTAATTGAGTTAACAGTCAATTTGCAGTGTCCTTGAAATCATCTTTGAGAGGGAAAACATCAACATTTCAATTAAAACAAAATAGCAACTCAACAAAATAAAAATAATCAAGATTCACTGTGACACCATATTGTTTTTTGACAGGTCCACAAAAACAGTTGAATGGGATGAGAGTGGGAACAAGATGTATCGTGGTATAAAATAAAAGAATGCTTAACATTAGCAGGACAGGGGAGGTCCGGTATGAAATGATTCCCTACCTGCAGCTGGTGGTCCAGAGTGAGATATGCCATGGGAATGGAGTTGTCTGAGCCGTTGGTATCTGGGCAGGAGAGAGCAAGATTTGTGTTTGTTTTTGCTCTGACAGTGACAGCAGTGGACTCGGTGCAAGCCGAGTCCACTGGGCAGGCACACAGTTATCAATAGACACCAGAAGTCCTTCAACAGAAATAGACCCTTGTCTTTTTACATATCCCAACTCCCCCTTCGGAGAGTGGGGTCATGGCCAGGGTCTGCCATGATCAACGGTGACCCTGGAGCAATTAGGGTTAAGGCCTTGCTCAAGGGCACATCAACAGATTTTTCACCTTGTCGGCTCAGGGATTCGAACTAGCGACCTTTCTGTTACTGGCCCAGCGCTCTAACCGCTAGGCTACCTGCCGCACATACTACTATACCTGTGGGGTCATCGGGAGAGAAACTGTACCCTCTGCTGCTGGTCTTATCAGGCGGCATCATCCTCACACTTGGACTGGAGGACCTGCTGCTGTTCCGGCTCCCCTGTAACAGGCCAACTACACTGTCAATCACTCATACAGCCCCTGTAACAGGCCAACAACACTGTCAATTACTCATACAGCCAATCATAGAAGATCAGAGGTGGAAATACATGTTCACAAAATGGCCCTTTTAATAATAATGTATGCCATTTAGCAGAAGCTTTTATCTTAAGTGACTTACAGTCGTGCATGCATACATTTTACGAGTGGGTGGCCTCGGGAATCAAACCCACAATCTGGCCGTTACAAGTGCCATGCTCTATCAACTGAGCCATACAGGACCGCTTTTGTTTTTGTCCACGGAGCACATAACACCAGAACCTCAAGCAAAGTCAACAATGACTATGGCTGTCATCCCATGGCTTCAGACGGCAACAGAATCCCACATGGCAATCCTAAGCCTCTTTCAGTGGGGTGAAACAACGTATAGTTTGTCAAGTAAAAAGTGTGAAAAACAAGGTCTTAAGTCTGTCTGGGGTTATGTACACACTTATGTACACGGGAGAACACTCCGTCACACTACTGGGAATTCACAAGTTGACCTCCACAGATAACCTTGCGCAAAAAGGTATAAGACAAGAACAATATAAAAATAAATCAATCCATGTCGAGAGTCTAGTTTCTCATTAAAGTAAACGGGAATTTTGCTACTGCAAAAAATGCACAGGGAGACACATGCCTTTTAACAAAATATACTGTAGAAACCAATGTTTAGGAATGCGAGGATGTAGGGACTCTCTGGGAAGGGGGCTTATTTGACAGTTGTCTGTGGGGGGAAAAAGAGAATGTTCTTCCTACACCTGGAATATCTTCATCTTCTCAACAGTGACATTCTCCATTAAGTCATGTAGCATTTCCCCCATGGGACACCTTGTTTGACCAAGCATCTATCAAATCCTCTGAGGAAGCAAAACATGATCAGCTCAAATGCAATGCAATGCAATGCAATTCACAGAGGGAGAGTGAAGATACTATACTACTTTAGAAGGAAACCAAATGAAAGGTGATAAAACAAGAAGCTTTTGAGAATGCTTTCATAACATGCATTTCCTCCTCTGTGCTACACTAGTCAATCCAGGCCTTGTCCTACTGTAGAGCATCTTACCTGGCTGGACTACTGTATAGTATCTTACCTGGCTGGACTCCTGTAGAGTATCTTACCTGGCTGTCCTACAGTAGAACATCTTACCTGGCTGGACTACAGTAGAACATCTTACCTGGCTGGACTCTGTGCCGACTCCCGGGAGGTCCTGTACAGATCTACGTCTCTGTGCCTCACAGGTGGCTGTGGACAGGATGGAGAGATAGAGGAACCGTTAAAACCTAGAGACAGTTCCAGGGGAAATTGTCTGTCGTCTGTCCGTGTCTGCCTGAGGTCTGTGAAAAGTGGGGTATCCAATCCACAGAGCCACACAGAGATGGGACAGCTGCACAGATTTAACCCCTGACTCCCTGGCATGTCACATGTGCTCTGGCATGGCCATAACGTGACCATAGCGCAGCAGTCGTCCCCCTCAACCCCCACACTAACACGGCACAACACACACACACACATACACCACCAAAAACCACACCTACCACATGAATAGCTAAGCCTCATTGTGTCACGTTTGTGCAGATCTGCTTGTTTGGGTTGGGGGGGCGGGCTGTGAGTAAGGGTTGCTGGTGATGGGGAACTAGGGTACTTCAGGGCTCACAGCACATTACTGGGCCTCAGACAAGACAAGGCCAACGGGCAGGGGGTCCTGGGCTGAACAGCACTATCAGGTCTGGCCTGGCCCTGATCTGCACCCTGCCTCCACGTCTTCATCCCCAGCCAAGGTAAACCTGAGGTTGTCTCTGACCTGCCTCCAATCCTTCATCCCAAGCGAAGGTAAACATGAGGTTGGCTCTTACTCTGCCTCCAATCCTTCATCCCAAGCGAAGGTAAACATGAGGTTGTCTCTTACTCTGCCTCCAATCCTTCATCCCAAGCGAAGGTAAACATGAGGTTGGCTCTTACTCTGCCTCCAATCCTTCATCCCAAGCCAAGGTAAACATGAGGTTGGCTCTTACTCTGCCTCCAATCCTTCATCCCCAACCAAGGTAAACATGAGGTTGCCTCTGACCTGCCTCCACTCCTTCATCCCCAGCCAAAGTAAACATGAGGTTGGCTCTGACCTGCCTGGTGTCTTCAGAATAACAGGTGAAATTCCAGCAATCTGGCAGTTAGAAGTATTATTAGTTCCATCTATGCTGTAGAATTATGAACAATGTCTTCAGAGTCACGTTTTACTGTCGGAACATCCAGCTGCTGGGAATTATTTGGCGATGGGAGCATCCGCACACTCCTTACCGTCAATCCCAGACCCATACAACATTTGAACTACTGCAATAAGGGAAATATTTAAGGTGGAAACCATTAAAATAAACAATTTGGGACAATTGAAGTAAGTTGTTAGAAACGTGACTCAACAATACCCTCAAAACGGATTATTTTTTTATTTCTAAAAACTACAAAATTGTGAATGCATAACTTTTTACATGAAACCTAACATCTAAAACTACCTGGAATGTAGAATGTTCGCAAGATGTGGCACCACAGGGAAAATGGATGGAGGAAATTGCCCATCTATTTTTTGGTAAAGTAGGTCTAAGCACTGGTGTAATGGTCTAACCCTTTTAACTTGACCTCTCCTATTGCACAAAACTCTGTAACAAATAGACAAACTACACACAGGCAGATCCACACACACACACACACACACACACACACAGAAACAAACAATACACTGAATGTTGGATTGAGAAAAATGCTCATCTGTCACTGCAGTGATTGTTGTTCTAGGCCTATACAGTGCCTTCAGAAAGTATTCATACCCCTTGACGTATCCTATATTTTGTTGTGTTACAGCCTGAATTCAAAATTGATTAAATATATGTTTCTTACCCTTCTACACACAATATCCCATAATGAAAAAGTGAAAACTTGTTTTTAAGAAAAGTTATCAAATGTATTGACAACGAAACACAGAAATATCTAATTTACGTAAGTATTCACACCCGAGTCAATACATGTTAGAATCACCTTTGGCAGTGATTACAGCTGTGAGTCTTTCTGGGTAAATCTCTAAGAGCTTTGCACACCTGGATTGTACAATATTTGCACATTATTCTTTAAAAAAATTATTCAAGCTCTGTCAAGTTGGTTGTTGATCATTGCATGACAGCCATTTAAGTCTTGCCATAGATTTCCAAGCAGATGTAAGTTAAAACTGTAACTAGGCCACTCAGGAACATTCAACGTTGTCTTGGCAAGCAATTCCAGTGTATATTTGGCCTTCTGTTTTAGGGTATTGTCCTGCTGAAAGGTGAATTTGTCTCCCAGTGTCTGTTGGAAAGCAGACTGAACCATGTTCTCCTCAAGGATTTTGCCTGTGCTTAACTCTATTCCGTTTCTTTTTATCTTAAAAAAACTCCTAAGTCCTTGTCGATGACAAGCATACCCATAACACAGCCACCACCATGCTTGAAAATGTGAAGAGTGGTACTCAGTGACGTGTTGTTTTTGCTCCAAACATAACACTTTGTGTTCAATACATAGCTAATTTCTTTGCCACATTTTTTGCAGTTTTACTGAAGTGCCTTATTGCATACAGGATGCATGTTTTGGAATATTTTTATTCTGTACAGGCTTACTTCTTTTCACTCTGTCATTTAGGTTAGTATTGTTGAGTAACTACAATGTTGTTGATCCATCCTCAGTTTTCTCCTATCACAGCCATTAAAAACCCTGTAACTATTTTAATGTCACCATTGGCCTCATTGTGAAATCCCTGAGCGGTTTCCTTCCTCTCCGGCAACTGAGTTAGGAAGGACGCCTGTATCTTTGTAGTCACTGGGTGTATTGATACACCATCCAAAGTGTAATTAACAACTTCACCATGTGGAAAAAGGGATATTCAATGTTTTTATTTTTACCCATCTACTAATAGGTGCCCTTCTTTGCGAGGCATTGGAAAACCTCCCTGGTCTTTCTGGTTGAATCTGTGTTTGAAATTCACTGATAGACGGAGGGATCTTACAGATGTGTGGGGTACAGCGATGAGGTAGTCATTTAAAAAATCATGTTAAACACTATTATTGCACACAGAGGCCATGCAACTTATGTGACTTGTTAAGCACATTTTTACTCATGACATTATTTAGGCTTGCCATAACAAATGAGTTGAATACTTAGACTTAAGACATTTCAGCTTTTAATTTTTAATTAATTTGTAAAAATGTCTAAAAACATAATTCCACATTGACATTATGGGGTATTGTGTGTAGGGCAGTGACACAAAATCTCAATTTAATCCATTTTAAATTCAGGCTGTAACACAAAATGTGGAAAAGGTCAAGGGGCGTGAAAACCCTCCCCTAACCCGGATGACGCTGGGCCAATTGTGCACCGCCACATGGGTCTCCCAATCATGGCCGGCAGTGACACAGCCTGGGATCGAACCCGGGTCTGTAGTGACGCCTCAAGCACTGCGATGCAGTGCCTTAGACCGCTGAATAGACATTTTAATTAGAATGCCAATCCAGAACTTCTAAAAATCTAGTACCGCTTCATACTAATTGAACTACTAAATGGAGACTGGGTTCAAATGAACTGAATAAATGAGTGACATCTAGGTGTGCCACATATAGTGATAACAACCCTGTCATACCTTTAATATCCCCTTACGTCAGCCGTCTCCTTTAGTCACACTGTTTAATTAACTACTCATTCAACATGTCTCACGCAGCTCCTACTTCCTAAATAGAAACAACTTTTTTGTGTGATATCCATCAGTCAAGATAGCTGCTGTCCCCATTTCGTTCATCCTTATCTCGGGTGGTAATAATAGCTGTGACCCTCAATGTGAGGTAAATGAATCAAAATGACTTTTACAAAGTTAATGGATGCAAAGAGAAAAAAAAAAAAATGTGTCAAGCTTTTAACAGACGTTCTCTATGCACGAAAGACAAAGACGAGCTGAGAGCGGAGCTCAACTCCAGACAGAGCAAGCCAAGCCAACCGATTTACTCCCTGCCTGCCTGAAGCAAAGCCAGAAGGACATTGAGAGAGAGAGACAGGGCCATGAGTTATGAATCTTATCACATCCATTTCACCCCCCCTTCTGATGGCATGATGCTGATCAAAATAACCTGATGACGTGCCACTTAATCAAGTCTATTCTATTGTTTTTGCACACCAGGCTAACTCAAGTTTGGATTCATCCATGAATCTGGATTAGATATGTCGAAGAAAAGATGGATCTGTGGGAATTGAAATGGCTTGATCAGCATCTTGTGCCTGGAGGGTGAAACACAGATAAGACAGCCACCACGTGTAACTCATGTCCCTCTTAACGTCTAACAAAACCACAAAAGACAGAGGAAAAAGACAACTGTGTGTGTTACTCCAGGTTTATCATCATTCATAGCCTCAATACTGATTTGTATTGGGTCATCACTGGTTGTGAGTCAGGTTCCTAAGAGAGAGGAAATATTTGGAAATAATATCCCCTATTCCAATTGAAATGTAAAGTGCCAAGGCAGAATATAAGGGCAGCATCCCAAATGGCACCCTATTCCATATTTAGTACACTACTTCTGACCAGGGCCCATAGGGCTCTATAGGGAATAGGGTGCCATTTGGGACTCATATGACTACAAGTGGCCCCTGTAGCCTGTGAGATCTGGAGTAACAGACACTAAAGGCCCAGCAGTGTCAGAGCATCCCGCTGATTCAGTTCAGCCAAGCCAGCTATACCCAGGGTACCAGGTAGCCTGGTGGTCCGCACTGGTACCTGTGACGACGATCTTGGGAACGTCCAGAATGGTGCCAAATGATGCCGTTTTACGGTGGCCTCGTTTATACTGGGGACGTGCTGCAACAAATACACACACAGCTGGCGTACACATGCATGCAGAGGAAGAGTGAGGGCCCAGAGCTGGAGCAGACATGTCAGACGGTGCTCTGTCCTCGCTCCCCTCTGGACTATACTGGCCTGCAGAACACATACATGCACATTGCACGGGCAACATGCGTCCTGTCCTGAGGTTGGTTGGTTAGTTTGACAACACAGTGCTAGCGATGCTGCTTTAGCCACAGCATAGGAAGTCTCAGAACACAGACATAACAGGCATTCAGTTAACAAGCAGTTTGACTGTACCAATAGAATATGTATGATAAATAGAATAAAATAAATAGATGAATATTGTAATATATAGTAACTATTGAGGAGCACTGAGGATATACAGATGATATTAAAGCTAAATATATGACTTATGACATTTTAAACTAATATTCATATGATATACCATGGACAACATCAACAATGTGAAATTATTCTAAACAATAAGACAGACAACTGAAAATATTTCACAGAAAACAGTCTCTCAAAGTAAGCTGAAAAGAAAGCGTGAGGACAAATCCTGACAAATAGAGGCTAAGGCTGTAGCTTCCTCATGCCTTAATGACTGCCTCGGAAGCTTCATTTTGACAGGGCTGATGATCAATACAAGTCATTCTCTCTGGCTGCATTTAGACAGGCAGCCCAATTCTCATCTTTTTTTTCTTCACTAATTGGTCTTTTGACCAATCAAATCAGCTCTGAAAAAGAGCTGATGTGAAAAGATCTGATGTGATTGGTCTATAGTGGAAGAAAGATCAGAACTGGGCTTCCTGTCTATAAACCCAGCCTCTGAGCCTTAGATCTGTGTGAAGGAGGGGAGATGATTGGCACCAGTGCTGAGGGGCATATGGAGGAGCTTACATGAGGAGTGAGACATCACCTAAGACATGAAAGCGGATGAAATGCATCTTGGCAGACAAGGAGACATGATTTACATTGAAGTCATTTTAGCAGGTGCTCTTATCCAGAGTGACTTACATGAGCAATTAGGGTTAAGTGCTGTGCTCAAGGTCACCGGCAGATTTTTTCCCACACCTAGTCAGCTTGGGGATTTGAACCAGTGACCTTTTGGTTACTGGCCCAACGCTCTTAACTGCTAGGCTACCTGCTGACCTGATAGTAGCTTCTAATGGCATAGAATGCCTTTCTCTCGCTCTCGTATTGAAATAAAACTCACTTCAGTAGCTGACGTAACATTGCTGTATGTATGAACTGTATGCATCTCTTCTAGAAGTGTGTGATGTCGAAAATATGTAGTCCTATATTTGTATAATCCATTGTGGGGTGTGTGTGTGTAGGGTGTCGATTCTGATGTTACCTGCGGGAGCGAAAGGCACCCTGTGCTCCAGCTCTGACAGGTCTGCGCTCATTCTCTTGCTCTCTGAGGACAGCAGGCTGTGGTTTCGCCCCGACAGGCTCTCCACACTGCCCCCTCTGGACAGAGGCAGGCTCCGCAACGGGTCAACCTGAGAGCACAGACAAAACAATGCATGCTGTTGGCCTACAGTACACTTTACTACTTATTCAGTATGGTCAAAAAGTCTCAATTACATTTTGTGTACTGATGATTTACTTCAAAATGACAGTGATTACTTTCATATGAGGCTTGTGTAAATCATTTTGTTCATATCCACACAAATGTAGCTAATTGCATTAATTTGTCTACCTTTTCTTTCTAGTCACCTGACAAAGTAAATTGTTCAGGTTTAATTGTTGTGATAGACATGGCTAGCCAGGTACCAGTACAGGTTGCTGCGTTACCTTTGGCCTGAACTGATGTGCAAACTGAGGTGTGATGTTGATGGTGTCGTTGCTCCCTTGAGAGTCCTCATGCTCCATGGTTGTGTCACTCTTGTTGCTGGTGCAAGTGTTATCCACATAGGAACCTGTAATACCCAATAGAGGGGTGGAAGAGATATTTCCACATTACCTCAATTATGTTTTATGTAGGTAAAACTCTAGTGCGGATAATAAAAGCTTCCACTATTTCAACAATATAGATGTAGCTACCTGTACTGGTGGCAGAGCTACTCTGTCCTTCATCTGAATACTGGTACGGGTATTGCAAGGGTTCATCAGATCCTGGGAAGCACTGGAAAAGAGAGGTTGACAGAAAATGTAAGAGTGACATTCCCAACACTGACCATCTGACCAGGCAAGCAGTCTGAGAACAGGACACCATGGAAAGAGTCCTCCTTGCATCCAGGGTCGGTGTCGGCATAGAATTAAAGGGAACACTGGAATGGACACTGTGGAGGCCACTTGACTGCAGGACGGCCATCTCGGTAAGGCAATCTTTCATTTAATGCATCTCTATAAGAATTAGTGTTTGTATCTAGGAGGGCCTTACTCGCATAAGATGAGTCATGATCTTGACTATCTCCTCCATGGAGGGCCTCTGGGAGGGGTCTTTAGACCAGCAGCGGGTCATCAGGCTCTCAATGGGTTTGGGAAGGCTCTTGATGAGCGGTGGCCGGGTGCCTGGACATTATCAATACAAACAGAGAGACAAGACACACTACATCAATATTTATCACTATGAATACAAACACATTACATTTACATTTTAGTCATTTAGCAGACGCTCTTATCCAGAGCGACTTACAGTTAGTGAATACATATATATATATATATATTTTTTTATACTGGCCCCCGTGGGAATCGAACCCACAACCCTGGCGTTGCAAACGCCATGCTCTATCAACTTAGCTACATCCCTGCCGGCCATTCCCTCCCCTACCCTGGACGATGCTGGGCCAATTGTGCACCGCCCATGAGTCTCCCGGTCGCGGCCGGCTGCGACAGAGCCTGGATTCGAACCAGGATCTCTAGTGGCACAGTTAGCACTGCGATGCAGTGCCTTAGACCACTGCGCCAAACAGTCACAGTAAAATGGACGTAGAGGTCAAAGGTTATACAAACTCAATCTGTAAAAACTGTGAGCAAGTTCCAGAAAGTTAATTTCAGTACAAGCAAACACTTTCAATCTAATGCAAATGAAAGCCCCTGCTGTGGTGGCACTCCTAATTTGTCAGAATGACAGACGCAGCAGTGTCGTGTCCCCAGGTGTGCTCCTGTTCTCAGACAGTCAGTGTTCCGTTAGCATTCTGCTCCATCACTCTACTGTGCAACGGAGGGAACAGCAGGGAGCGCTACACAGGTGAGTCTGTCTTTTAATTGCTCTTCCCCGTCAGCCTCGTAACTCATTTAATCTCACAGCAGGTCTCACTGGGCAGCTGGCTCTGAGACGCAAGGGTGATTGACATGTCAGCACAGAGATGAACTCATTCAGCTCCCCCACCTCCTTCCTCTCAGACTCACCATTATGCACAGCCCACATGATGCGGAAGGCCGGCCCCCCGATCTCATCAAAGGGCTTCCTGCGTGTGATCACCTCCCAGAGAATGATGCCCCAGCTGAACACATCACACTTCTCGCTGTAATTGCTGCCTGAAAGCACATGGGAGAGAAACAGCTCCTCAGGACCTTTCAGATTGGGGAAAAAAACACTGGGCTTGACATAGCTCTGATTGACTGATGATAGGTAATTCTCTAAAAAGCGTGGTTAATATGTGTGAGGAGTGTTGGGGGGAAGGGGGATGTGCTTGGGAAAGCACAGGAGCATCCATCTTGTCCGCACCTTAAGAACACATGTGTAATGACAATAAGGAGGTCATTTTAGTTCAGGGCCACTCCTGAGATGCTTAATTACTGTGGCTATTGTTGTGGAATTAAACTACTCTGCACACAGACGTTTTGGACTGTGTCCCAAATGGCACCCTATTCCCTATTTAGTGCACTTCTTTTGACCAGGGCCCATAATGCCCTATATAAGGAATAGGGTGTAATTTGGGACTCAGACTTACAGTTGCTTTGCTGATGAGGCCTTTTCAAAACATTTCTCCCTGTGATACAAATTAGCTTTAAAGAGGTCATTCTGGGGGCAAATGTGAGCTGTTTAATTGCATGGAAGTCATGTTACTCCCTTAAACAAGATAATGCCTCATTTATGTTTCCTCCTGACAAGAGGCTGCCTCTTAATGTGTTTTGTAAAAGAAAGTGAATTAGGCCAGGGTTTCCCAAACTCGGACCTGGGGCCCCGCTGGGTGCACGTTTTGGTTTTTGCCCTAGCACTTCACAGCTGATTCAAATAATCAAAGCTTGATGAGTTGGTTATTTGTATAGTGCTAGGGCAAAAACCAAAACGTGCGCCCAAGGGAGGCCCCAGGACGGAGTTTGGAAAACCCTGCATTAGACTACCGGCTGAGAGCATAGACTAAAATGCTACATTCTCTTGGGGATGAAAGCGTCTCTGCAATATGCTGCATCTTTCCCTCCATTCACCTTCTAAATGTCTGTGTGTACAATCACAATAATAAATACCACTCAAGATATGAATGACTGTAAATTAACAGAATGCTAATAAGAGTTTGATTAATCAGGCTTTGAGAAATGGTGGAGTCTACGTGTTTGGGGTGACTTCCAGTGATCAAATAAGTGACAAAGCCTAAATGGAGCACCATTACAATTAATGAGCACTTACACCACTAAACATAAGCCCTCCTGTATAAACACTGCTCTCAACAGTAGCATCACATAAACAAACGCTGACAATCAATGCACATTAGGTAAACACATTTGTGAACGGCTACACTTGTTTAGATACCCTTGTTCTTAAAGAGTCAGTCCGATTTGCGCTTTCTAAGACCGATGGGACAGACATCCATTGGCGTGTTTCAAACATTTGCCATGCTGTTCATACTTGCCTTCAAACACCTCTGGGGCCATCCAAGCAGCACTTCCTTTGTTGTTGGTCATGTGTGTCTGAATGTCACACGCTGTCCCAAAGTCACATATCTTCAGCACGGTGCCACCGGCAACAAGGAGCAGGCTGAAACAAACAAGTAAACAAAGATCCACTCAAATGCTAGACGTGTGAACTTGAGTGACGTGTGAACTTGAGTGACGTGTGAACTTGAGTGACGTGTGAGACTACGTAAGGGTAACTACTAAAGGCTGCTGAGGTCTAACTGGGTTACAAACACATAATAAATCCACTTTAAATTCAAAGCAAACATTTCTAATCATTAAAATAAACATGAAGAGGGGACTATAGCTAGTCAGATTATTTTTATACATACAAAGGGAAGTCAGATCCCTTACAGTAAATAACTTTACAACCACACAGTCTGGCAACACCCACTGTGTCACACAAAGAGCGTGAAGGTTAGGTTCCAGTCTTTTCCGTCAGAGCCAAATATATAACCTCTGGAGCCGATACAGCTACTCTAAGCATTTCAGTCAGAGGCACACTTTGAAAACACTAAGGCCTTACTACTGAAGCCAGATCAAATAGAAATGGAACAAAAACACAAACAAAATACTTATATACCTAGACGACTGGAGCCCGTCTGTTGACTATGCACTTCATTATTTATATATTTTTTAATGCTATTTTGGTTAATAAAGTCAGATAAAGTATTCTTACGCTATTGCATAATATAATATATCACACACAACTATTAAATGACACCTTGAGTGGGGGAGCAAGGCACTTTATCAGCAGTGAAACAAGAGAGAGGGGGAGGAGGTGAGGAGGAGCATACTTGGGTGGCTTGAGGTCCCTGTGAATGAGAGCCTTTGGTTTCATGCCATGGAGATAGGCGACCCCTTGGGAACACTGAAAACACCAGCTCATGGCATGGGAAGCAGTGTAATAGGGGAGGGGTTCAGTACCATGCAGCACTGTGGACAGAGAACACAGTCACTACCACTGACACCTCGAAATAAACACAAAACATACCTGCATGCACACACGCACATTTCCATAGCCATAAAGGTCCAGAAGTGCAAACACACTTTCACATGACACACACACACACACCATATGTTTTACTATCCTTGTGGGGCCCTAAAATTGATTGCCATTAAAAATCCTATTTTCCCTAACTCTAACCCCTAAGCCTAAAATAGCCTTTGTCCTCGTGGGGACCTGGGAAATGTCCCCACTAGGGAGAATTGTCCTTCTTTTACTACCCTTGTGGGGACTTCTGGGACCCACGAGGATACTAATGCGCGCACACACACACACACACACAGAAAACCATCAAAATTATAGTTTCAAGCATTCAACAAAGTTTTGACGACCACAACTAAGAACGCCTACTTTAAATAACTTTCATAGAGATTCAGAGGTATAAAAGCATACAAGGGGGTAAAGTGCTTGTACAGGTAAGAGTCAGACCTGGGTTGAAATACTATTTTGAATATCTCAATTACTTTCATATACATTCAAAGTAAGTATTCAGATATTTTTGAAAAGACAAGTAGTTTAATATTTTAATGTATATATTTGGAAATACACTTGGAAAGTATTTGAAAATACTCAAATACACTGACTCAAATACACTCCAATGCATTTAACCCAGGTATTTGAAATAAGTATTTGAAAATAACCATTCAATTAAAAAGTCCTTGTTAAGGGCTGTATATTTCAAAAATATCACACACTCAAATACACATGTATTTGAACCCATGTCTGGTAAGGATTCCATGAACACTTCCTAACTCTGCAATACTCCATAACAGGTCATTGTGAAAGGACTGACCAATTTAAGGAATCATGCCAATAGTGAGCCTGATAACCCTTTACACTCGTGGGAATTGGCCTATATGGATAGGGCTAAATTGAAAGGGAACACTTAGGAGATAACAGAGAAATTATCAGACCAAAGGTGAGGACACAACAGTTAACCTGACACAAGACTGAATCCAAACATTACACTGTTGATTTTATGTGCATTTTACATTTACTGTACTTTTAGCCATATCTGTTGATAATGAAATCTGAAAATACTCTGGATACATTCAGTAACATGATAGGACTATTCCTGGAAAATGTGGGGTAGGTGCAACATAAGACAACATACATTTGAGTGAGAGGGAAAACTAGTGTCTCCAAGTGGCCACACACCTATCCAAAAATGTGCACAGGTTCTAAGCAATTTCAATGCCCTTTTATGACTCAAAGAAGAGTCTTCAACAATAAGGTACTTTTTTTTAGCTCTCCTAGCTGTGCCAGTGCAGAACTAGAGCAAGCACACTTCCCCTCCATCACACAATGACTGTTGTTTATGCAATCCAAAAACGATCCATTATAAAAATAGCAATCTGGGTCAGGTGGGCATGATTTGAAAGCTTGTTCCATTGCCAACTTGACTAGCTAAGTTATACAATACGATCTTACAGTGGTAGGCTTTCCACAAGGCAATTCAGAGAAACAGATCAACATTTTGGTGTGCATAGAAAGGAGTCATGATTGCATTCAGGTGCGTGTGCTGCAACTAATTTTCTACACAAACAAACATAGGCTCATTCTGTTCAGAACAACCCAGGATATGACGACATACAGTACCAGTCAAAAGTTTGGACACCTACTCATTCCAGGGTTTTTCTTTATTTTTACTATTTTCTACATTGTAGAATAATAGTGAAGAAATCAAAACAATTAAATAACACATATGGAATCATGTAGTAAGCAAAAAAGTGTTAAACAAATCAAAATATATTTTATATTTGAGATTCTTCAAATAGCCACCCTTTGCCTTGATGACAGCTTTGCACACTCTTGGCATTCTCTCAACCAGCATCACCTGGAATGCTTTTCCAACCGTCTTGAAGGAGTTCCCACATATGCTGAGCAATTGTTGGCTGCTTTTCCTTCACTCTGCTGTCCGACTCATCCCAAACCATCTCAACTGGGTTGAGCTTGGGGGATTGTGGAGGCCAGGTCATCTGATGCAGCACTCCATCACTCTCCTTCTTGGTAAAATAGCCCTTACACAGCCTGGAGGTGTGTTGGTTCATTATCCTGTTGAAAAACAAATGATAGTCCCACTAAGCGCAAACAAGATGGGATGGCGTATCGCTGCAGAATGCTGTGGTAGCCATGCTGGTTAAGTGTGCCTTGAATTCTAAATAAATCACAGACTGTGTCACCAGCAAAGCACCCCCACACTATAACACCTCCTCCTCCATGCTTCACGGTGGGAACCACACATGGGGAGATCATCCGTTCACCTACTCTGCGTCTCACAAAAGACACGCGGTTGGAACCAAAAATCGCAAATTTGGACTCATCAAACCAAAGGACAGATTTCCACCAGTCTAATGTCCATTGCTCGTGTTTCTTGGCCCAAGCAAGTCTCTTCTTATTATTGGTGTCCTTTAGTGGTTTCTTTGCAGCAATTCGACCATGAAGGCCTGATTCACGCAGTCTCCTCTGAACAGTTGATGTTGTGATGTGTCTGTTACTGAACTCTGTGAAGCATTTATTTGGGCTGCAATCTGAAGTGTAGTTAACTCTAATTAAGTTATCCTCTGCAGCAGAGGTAACTCTGGGTCTTCCATTCCTGTGGCGGTCCTCATGAGAGCCAGTTTCATCAAAGATCTTGATGGTTTTTGCAACTGCACTTGAAGAAACTTTCAACGTTCTTGAAATGTTCCGTATTGACTGACCATGTCTTAAAAGTAACGATGGACTGTCGTTTCTCTTTACTTATTTGAGCGGTTCTGGCCATAATATGGACTTGGTCTTTTACCAAATAGGGCTATCTTCTGTATACCACCCCTACCTTGTCACAACACAACTGATTGGCTCAAACGCATTAAGAAGGAAAGAAATTCCACAAATTAACTTTTAACAAGGCACAACTGTTAATTGAAATGTATTCCAGGTGACTACATCATGAAGCTGGTTGAGAGAATGCCAAGAGTGTGTGCAAAGCTGTCATAATAATAATATGCCATTTAGCAGACGCGTTTATCCAAAGCGACTTAGTCATGTGTGCATACATTTTTACGTATGGGTGGTCCCGGGGATCGAACCCACTACCCTGGCATTACAAGCGCCATGCTCTACCAATTGAGCTACAGAGGTCATCAAGGCAAAGGGTGGCTATTTGAAGAATTTCAAATATATTTTGATTTGTTAAACACTATTTTGGTTACTAAATTCCATGTGTTATTTCATAGTTTTGATGTCTTCACTATTATTCTACAATGTAGAAAATACACTGCTCAAAAAAATAAAGGGAACACTTAAACAACACAATGTAACTCCAAGTCAATCACACTTCTGTGAAATCAAACTGTCCACTTAGGAAGCAACACTGATTGACAATAAATTTCACATGCTGTTGTGCAAATGGAATAGACAACAGGTGGAAATTATAGGCAATTAGCAAGACACCCCCAATAAAGGACTGGTTTTGCAGGTGGTGACCACAGACCACTTCTCAGTTCCTATGCTTCCTGGCTGATGTTTTGGTCACTTTTGAATGCTGGCGGTGCTTTCACTCTAGTGGTAGCATGAGACGGAGTCTACAACCCACACAAGTGGCTCAGGTAGTGCAGCTCATCCAGGATGGCACATCAATGCGAGCTGTGGCAAGAAGGTTTGCTGTGTCTGTCAGCGTGGTGTCCAGAGCATGGAGGCGCTACCAGGAGACAGGCCAGTACATCAGGAGACGTGGAGGAGGCCGTAGGAGGGCAACAACCCAGCAGCAGGACTGCTACCTCCGCCTTTGTGCAAGGAGGAGCAGGAGGAGCACTGCCAGAGCCCTGCAAAACAACCTCCAGTAGGCCACAAATGTGCATGTGTCTGCTCAAACGGTCAGAAACAGACTCCATGAGGGTGGTATGAGGGCCCGACGTCCACAGGTGGGGGTTGTGCTTACAGCCCAACACCGTGCAGGACGTTTGTCATTTGCCAGAGAACACCAAGATTGGCAAATTCGCCACTGGCGCCCTGTGCTCTTCATAGATGAAAGCAGGTTCACACTGAGCACATGTGAAAGACGTGACAGAGTCTGGAGACGCCGTGGAGAACGTTCTGCTGCCTGCAACATCCTCCAGCATGACCGGTTTGGCGGTGGGTCAGTCATGGTGTGCGGTGGCATTTCTTTGGGGGGCCGCACAGCCCTCCATGTGCTCGCCAGAGGTAGCCTGACTGCCATTAGGTACCGAGATGAGATCCTCAGACCCCTTGTGAGACCATATGCTGGTGCGGTTGGCCCTGGGTTCCTCCTAATGCAAGACAATGCTAGACCTCATGTGGCTGGAGTGTGTCAGCAGTTCCTGCAAGAGGAAGGCATTGATGCTATGGACCGCCCGTTCCCCAGACCTGAATCCAATTGAGCACATCTGGGACATCATGTCTCGCTCCATCCACCAACGCCACGTTGCACCACAGACTGTCCAGGAGTTGGCGGATGCTTTAGTCCAGGTCTGGGAGGAGATCCCTCAAGAGACCATCCGCCACCTCATCAGGAGCATGCCCAGGCGTTGTAGGGAGGTCATACAGACACGTGGAGGCCACACACACTACTGAGCCTCATTTTGACTTGTTTTAAAGGACATTACATCAAAGTTGGATCAGCCTATAGTGTGGTTTTCCACTTTAATTTTGAGGGTGACTCCAAATCCAGACCTCCATGGGTTGATAAATGTGATTTCCATTGATAATTTGTGTGATTTTGTTGTCAGCACATTCAACTATGTAAAGAAAAAAGTATTTAATAAGATTATTTCATTCATTCAGATCTAGGATGTGTTATTTTAGTGTTCCCTTTATTTTTTTGAGCAGTGTAGTAAAAAAAACCTGGAATGAGTAGGTGTGTCCAAACTTTTGACTGGTACTGTACATTAAACATAGTGATCATAAATGTTGATACTGTATATGACATGAGTTATGATTTGGAAATGTGATGTGCACATTTGGACGAAATCAAAGCGTTATTCAAAGCGGTATTTATTATAATCCTCAAAGTCACATCTTTCAAAATACATCAGGTCTTCTTAAATTTACAGCATTTCCCTCACTCAGACAACAAAAAATGTTGCGAGCTGTGCTCAAGATCAGAACGGCTATCAGTCAAAACCCATACAATGCTGTGAAGCAGAGACCCTGATCTCTGACGTAACTTATAGAATGTCACTGTACAGCCACTACGTTCCAATTTAGGCGCTTATTAGTGCCCAAATCTGCCACCTTTAACCCGTATATACGGGTACGAATGTAAAGGGTTAACAAGAGCATAATTTGCATTTCTAGTGTGGTAGAGTGGTAGATAGGCTTAGTCTGTATACCAGGGTTATTTGGAAATAGCCACAGGATGGTTTTTCAAAACCGTCAATACCGTTGAAACCATTTCTTTGAATCTTTTTTTATATATTTTAATATTTGTAGCTACAGTGCCTTGCAAAAGTATTCATCCCCCTGGCGTTTTTCCTATTTTGTTGCATTACAACCTGTAATTTAAATGGATTTTTATTTGGATTTCATGTGAAAGTGAAAGAAAAAAATAACTTGTTTAAAAACATTCTAAAATAAATAACAGAAAAGTGGTGCGTGCATATGTATTCACCCCCTTTGCTATGAAGCCCCTAAATAAGATCTGGTGCAACCAATTACCTTCAGAAGTCACATAATTAGTTAAATAAAGTCCACCTGTGTGCAGTCTAAGTGTCACATGATCTATATATACACCTGTTCTGAAAAGCCCCAGAGTCTGCAACACCACTAAGCAAGGGGCACCACCAAGCAAGCGGCACCATGAAGACCAAGGAGCTCTCCAAACAGGTCAGGGACAAAGTTGTGGAGAAGTACAGATCAGGGTTGGGTTATAAAAAAATATCTGAAACTTTGAACATCCCACGGAGCACCATTAAATCCATTATTTAAAAAAATCGAAAGAATATAGCACCACAACAAACCTGCAAAGAGAGGGCCGCCCACCAAAACTCACAGACCAGGCAAGGATGGCGTTAATCAGAGGCAACAAAGAGACCAAAGATAACCTGCAAACCTCCACAGCGGAGATTGGAGTATCTGTCCATAGGACCACTTTAAGCCGTACACTCCACAGAGCTGGGCTTTACGGAAGAGTGGGCAGAAAAAAGCCATTGTTTAAAGAAAAAAGTAAGCAAACACGTTTGGTGTTCACCAAAAGGCATGTGGGAGACTCCCCAAACATATGGAAGAAGGTACTCTGGTCAGATGAGACTAAAATTGAGCTTTTTGGCCATCAACGAAAACGCTATGTCTGGCGCAAACCCAACACCTCTCATCACCCCGAGAACACCATCCCCAAAGTGAAGCATGGTGGTGGCAGCATCATGCTGTGGGGATGTTTTTCATCGGCAGGGACTGGGAAACTGGTCAGAATTCTTGAGGGAAACCTGTTTCAGTCTTCCAGAGATTTTCACCTTCCAGCAGGACAATGACCCTAAGCATATGGCTAAAGCAAAACTCGAGTGGTTTAAGGGGAAATATTTGAATGTCTTGGAATGGCCTAGTCAAAGCCCAGACCTCAATCCAATTGTGAATCTGTGGTATGACTTAAAGATTGCTGTACACCAATGGAACCCATCCAACTTGAAGGAGCTGGAGCAGTTTTGCATTGAAGAATGGGCAAAAAATCCCAGTGGCTAGATGTGCCAAGCTTATAGAGACATACCCCAAGAGACTTGCAGCTGTAATTGCTGCAAAAGGTGGCTCTACAGAGTATTGACTTTGGGGGGGTGAATAGTTATGCACACTCAAGTACACAACGAAGAGAGACCGGAGGCTTTTGAGTCACTCACTGTTGTGCAGCATGCGCCAGGTGATCTAGTTACAGTATGGAATTCAAAACGAAATGTTTGCCAGCTAGATATCTTATAACTATTATGTTAACCGTCTAAAATGTACTAAATGCTCTGCAGTTGTGCAATTGGCTTGCTAACTTAGTAGCTAGTTATCTAGCTAAGTGGTTAGCTTCTTGCAACATCAAGCTTCTTGGTAACAGCAGAGAATCCCCTCCTGGATCAAGAGCCTTGCTGTCCAATATTGGTTTTGTGCGTGCAGCAAACTGAGTACCATTTTTGATTTACTTGTATAACATTATGAGCTGGGATGTCTGTCCTGCAAATAGTTTGTCAGAGACTGTATAAAATATTTTCATGCGCTTGTTAGCATTCAGTTAGCATTCGCATAGGGTTTTTCATGTACACAAATGACCAAAAGTATGTGGACACCTGCTCGTCGAACATCTCATTCCAAAATCATGTGCATGAATATGGAGTTGGTTCCCCTTTGCTGCTATAACAGCCTCCATTCTTCTGTGAAGGCTTTCCACTAGCTGTTGGAACATTGCTGCGTGGACTTGCTTCCATTCAGTCACAAGAGCATTATTGTGGTCCTCTGTAGCTCAGCTGGTAGAGCACGGCGCTTGTAACGCCAAGGTAGTGGGTTCGATCCCCGGGACCACCCATACACAAAAAATTTATGCACGCATGACTGTAAGTCGCTTTGGATAAAAGCGTCTGCTAAATGGCATATTATTATTATTATTATTATTATTATTATATTATATTGAGGTCGGGCACTGATGTTGGGCGATTAGGCCTGGCTCGCAGTCGGCATTCCAATTCATCCCAAAGGTGTTCGACGGGGTTGAGGTCAGGGCTCTGTGCAGGCCAGTCAAGTTCTTCCACACCGATCTTGACAAACCATTTCTGTATGGACCTCGCTTTGTGCACGGGGGGCATTGTCATGCTGAAACAGGAAAGGGCCTTCCCCAAACTGTTGCCACAAAGTTGGAAGTACAGAATCGTCTAGAATGTCATTGTATGCTGTAGCGTTAAGATTTCCCTTCACTGGAACTAAGGGGCCTAGCCCGAACCATGAAAAACAACCCCAGACCATTATTCCTCCTCCACCAAACTTTACTGTTGGCACTATGCATTGGGGCAGGTAGTGTTCTCCTGGCATCTGCCAAACCCAGATTCATCTGGACTGCCAGATGGTGAAGCGTGATTCATCACTCCAGAGAACGCGTTTCCACTGCTCCAGAGTCCAATGGCAGTGAGTTTTACACCACTCCAGCCGACGCTTGGCATTGTGCATGGTGATCTTAAGCTTGTGCGCGGCTGCTCGGCCATGGAAACCCATTTCATGAAGCTCCCGACAAACATTTATTGTGCTAACGTTGCTTCCAGAGTCAGTTTGGAACTCGGTAGTGGGTGTTGCAACTGAGGACAGACTAATTTTATGCGCTACGCGCTTCAGCACTTGGCGGTCCCGTTCTGTGATTTTGTGTGGCGACCACTTCGCGGCTGAGCCGTTGTTGCTATTAGACGTTTCCACTTCAAAATAACAGCATTTACAGTTGACAGGGGCAGCTCTAGCTGGGCAGAAATTTGACGAACTGACTTGTTGGAAAGGTAGCATCCTATGACGGTGCCACGTTGAAAGTCACTGGGCTCTTCAGTATGGGCCATTCTACTGCCAATGTTTGTCTATGGAGATTGCATGGCTGTGTGCTCGATTTTATACATCTGTCTGCAACCGGTGTGGCTGAAATAGCCAAATCCACTAATTTGGGTTGTCCACATACTTTTGTATATATAGTGTACTTATTAGCATTGCTAACCTTCGGATTACAGACTCAGTGGGGCTTGAAAATAGCACTCTGTGTTCAGTGCCGGTATTACCGGATATCCCAGGATGGCACAAGGTCGGTATGAAGGTATGACAATCTGGATACTGCCCATGCCTAGCAGTTGGCTTGCCTAGATCGTTGCCCAGAGACTCACCATTGTACAGAGACCCCCCTTCAGCATATTCCATCACCAGGCAGACCTAGATCGGAAAAGTTGTGCCGTCAAAATTGAAAATAAATCAAGCTATTAGGCTATACAGTTTCCCATGATGTTCTGGTCATTTGTCAACCTTGCTATTGGTGTTTCTATAATATCAGTAACAACCCACTGTTCCAAGGAATTTACAACAACTGGCAAAAACCAATACTTATTTCCCTCATTAAAATGCAAATCAATTTATAACATTTTTTACATGCATTTTTCTGGATTGTTGTTGTTGTTATTCTGTCTCTCACTGTTCAAATAAACCTACCATTAAAATTATAGACTGATCATGTCTTTGTAAGTGGGCAAACGTACAAAATCAGCAGGGGATCAAATACTTTTTTCCCCTCACTGTAAGCTGACTTACCGGATTATTGCATGAGCCATACAACTTCACAATGTTGGGGTGATTCACACGCGAAAGTTGTCGCAGCTTGGGACGGGAGAGGAGGAGGGAAGAGGATCAAGAGGGATCTCTTTGGGTTTTAATAAACAGCCCTGCCATAACTTTACAGAATATATACATATACACTACCGTTCAAAAGTTTGGGGTCACTTAGAAATGTCCTTGTTTTCCATGAAAACATACATTAAATGAGTTTGAATAGGAAATATAGCAAAATGCATAGGAAATGTAGTCATTGACAAGGTTAGAAATAATTATTTTTAATTGAAATAATAATTGTGTCCTTCAAACTTTGCGTTCGTCAAATAATCCTCAATTTGCAGCAATTACAGCCTTGCAGACCTTTGGCATTCTAGTTGTCAATTTGTTGAGGAAATCTGAAGAGATTTCACCCCATGCTTCCCGAAGCACCTCCCACAAGTTGAATTGGCTTGATGGGCACTTCTTACGTACCATACGGTCAAGCTGCTCCCACAACAGCTCAATAGGGTTGAGATCCGGTGACTGTGCTGGCCACTCCATTATAGACAGAATACCAGCTGACTGCTTCTTCCCTAAATAGTTATTGCATAGTTTGGAGCTGTGCTTTGGGTCATTGTCCTGTTGTAGGAGGAAATTGGCTCCAATCAAGCGCCGTCCACAGGGTATGGCAAGGCGTTACAAAATGGAGTGATAGCCTTCCTTCATCAAGATCCCTTTTACCATGTACAAATCTCCCACTTTACCACCACCTAAGCACCCCCAGACCATCACATTGCCTCCACCATGCTTGACAGACGGCATCAAGCACTCCTCCAGCATCTTTTCATTTGGTCTGCGTCTCACAAATGTTCTTCTTTGTGATCCGAACACCTCAAACTTCAATTTGTCTGTCCATAACACTTTTTTCCAATCTTCCTCTGTCGGGTGTCTGTGTTCTTTTGCCCATCTTAATCTTTTCTTTTTATTGGCCAGTCTGAGATATGGCTTTTTCTTTGCAACTCTGCCTAGAAGGTCAACATCCCAGAGTCGCCTCTTCACTGTTGACGTTGAGACTGGTGTTTTGCGGGTACTATTTAATTAAGCTGCCAGTTGAGGACCTGTGAGGCGTCTGTTTCTCAAACTAGACACTGTAATGTATTTGTCCTCTTTCTCAGTTGTGCACCGAGGCCTCCCACTCCTCTTTCTATTCTGGTTAGAGCCAGTTTGCACTGTTCTGTGAAGGGAGTAGTACACACTGTTGTACGAGATCTTCAGTTTCTTGGCAATTTCTCACATGGAATAGCCTTCATTTCTCAGAACAAGAATAGACCGACGAGTTTCAGAAGAAAGTTATTTGTTTCTGTGCATTTTGATCCTGTAATCGAACCCACAATTGCTGATGCTCCAGATACTCAACTAGTCTCAAGAAGGCCAGTTTTATTGCTTCTTTAATCAGCACAACAGTTTTCAGCTGTGCTAACATAATTGCAAAGGGTTTTCTAATGATCAATTAGCCTTTTAAAATGATAAACTTGGATTAGCAAACACAACGTACCATTGGAACACAGGACTGATGGTTGCTGATAATGGGCCTATGTAGATATTCCATAAAAAATCATCCGTTTCCAGCTACAATAACCATTTACAACATTAACAATGTCTACACTGTATTTCTGATCAATTTGATGTTATTTAAAAAAAAAAAGATTTTATTTTGAAAAACAAGGACTTCTAAGTGACCCCAAACTTTTGAACAGTAGTGTATATATACACAGTACCAGTCAAAAGTTTGGACACACATACTCATTTATGGGTTTTTCTTAATTTTTTACTATTTTCTACATTGTAGAATAATAGTGAAGACATCAAAACTATGAAATAACACATATGGAATCATGTAGTAACCAAAAAAAGTGTTAAAGAAATTAAAATATATTTTATATTCTTCAAAGTAGCCACCATTTGCCTTGATGACAGCTTTGCACACTCTTGGCATTCTCTCAACCAGCTTCATGAGGAATGCTTTTCCAACAGTCTTGAAGGAGTTCCCACATATGCTGAGCACTTGTTGGCTGCTTTTCCTTCACTCTGCGGTCCAACTCATCCCAAACCATCTCAATTGGGTTGAGGTCGGGGGATTGTGGAGGCCAAGTCATCTGATGCAGCACTCCATCACTCTCCTTCTTGGTCAAATAGCCCTTACACAGCCTGGAGGTGTGTTTTGGGTCATTGTCCTGTTGTAAAACAAATGACAGTAACTCTGGGTCTTCCTTTCCTGTGGCGGTCCTCATGAGCCAGTTTCATCATAGCGCTTGATGGTTTTGCGACTGCACTTGAAGAAACGTTCAAAGTTCTTTACATTTTCCGGATTTACTAACCTTCATGTCTTAAAGTAATGATGGACTGTCGTTTCTCTTTGCTTATTTGAACTCTTCTTGTCATAATATGGACTTGGCCTTTTACCAAATGGGGCTATCTTCTGTATACCACCCCTACCTTGTCAGAACCCAACTGTTTTGCTCAAATGCATTAAGAAGGAAAGAAATTCCACAAATTAACTTTTAACAAAATGCATTCCAGGTGACTACATCATGAAGCTGGTTGAGAGAATGCCAAGAGCGTGCAAAGCTGTCATCAAGACAAAGGGTGGCTACTTTGAAGAATCTGAAATATAAAATATATTTTGATTTGTTTAACACTTTTTTGGTTACTACATGATTCCATATGTGTTATTTCATAGTTTTGATGTCTTCACTATTATTCTACAATGTAGAAAATAGTAAAAATTAATAAAAACCCTGGAATTAGTAGGTGTGTCCAAACCTTTGACTGGTACTGTATATATATGTTTTACTCTAGTTTGTTTAGTAAATATTTTCTTAACTCTATTTTCTTAAAACTGCATTGTTGGTTAAGGGCTTGTAAGTAAGCATTTCACAGTAAGGTCTACCTACAGCTGTTGTATTCGGCGCATGTGACAAATAACATGTGATTTGATCTCTACTAGTATCCCAGTACAATATAACAATACCTCAACTATGAACGCTTTCCTTTCAGATTCACTCTCTATTGTCTTGATTGCGACGTCTTTGCCTTTCCATTTGGCCTTGCAGACAACACCAAATGCACCTCTCCCCACGACCTGAAAGAGAACAGGTAGACGACATAAGCCAAGTGTGTTGGATGCATAGTTATTCGTCCTTTATTATCATGACCCTACTAAAGCCACTTTCCATCTGGGTATTTTAGGACTTAGCCAAGCTAACACTGTTGTTGTTATTTGTTGTGGGCAAGTTCCATTACACAATCCAGCATATCAATCAAACTGTGTACAGACAGTCAACGTCATCTGATCTGATGGAGAGGGGTCTGATGTCCCACCTGTGAGAACTGCATCTAGTTAGCTAGCTACAATCAAAACAAGAACTGCCTAATAGATTTGGAGAATAGCTAACTGACCATTCTCTATAACGTCTAAAATCATTGATGAATGGCATAGCTATTAGTGACATAGTTATGGTAACATTTAATTCCCAGGCCTTTTCAAAACCATAATAAACAAACATTCAATGCATGGTAGAGCTAACTAGCATGACAATTGAGATATCACGTACTGTGGCAACTTCTGCGTCATGACACTAATATCAGAGGATCCCTCATGTTCCAATCAAATGGAATGTTGAGATAGCTAGCTTGTTACTTACCTCCTCAACTTCAATATCCACATAATCTATTTCTTCAAAGGGATATCCAGGGGGAGTTTCGATCATATCGGCGGATGGCAGAGACATTGCTAACTGGCTAACTAGCTATTCATTAAAACCAAGATGTTAAAATAAAATAAAAAAATCGCTAAAACATGCTAGACACGCGCACTCAAAGAATCATAAAAATATTATTACATGACACAACTTGCCAAGACACTGGCGGACCTAAAACGTTAATAAATATAGTTTAAAAACTGAAACTCGCAAGCTGTGTTAGCTGGCTAGCTAGCTAGCTCAGTCCAACATAGCCAGATGGTAGCTGAGCTAGCTAGCCAGCTAGTAAGGCAGTTTGCTAACGTTAGCTAAAAAGTCGATGAGTAACAATGGCTAGTAGTAGCCACAATTTGCAAACAGCAACTTTCAATTGCCATATCAGGGACGTCAACGACGTTTGTTGACAAAAGTAATTCAGCAAGCTATATCTGACACTTTGGGATGCACTTGACTAGGCCAATTGCTGGCCTAATTACGCCAGCCCTTCGCCGCCGTAGACTGTGCACAACCGGCGTAGTGGCTCAAGACATGGGGTGATTGATTTCCTTAACATTTCAAACTCAAAATAATCAAAGAAAAGTGTCCACCGTTTTGCCATGCGTTTATCTAAACATCTGACACGCGTACATCACTTTATAATTACGACTTTGCTTCCATTATATACGACTTTTGTTTTTTTCCGCAGTTGTTGCAGGCAGCAGCTCCAGAAAGTGTGTGCTCCCCTGAATTCTGCCCCACCAGCTTTGTGCCCGGAATGGCATGCAGATGCAACTTCGTAAATAAAGACGCTATAATAAAAAGGATGCGAGGTTATTGTTAACTATATCATTACAATAAATGCATGCATAAGTGTGTGCTTATAAGTAACGTTATTAGCCTCTTATATGTCAATAGTATACGTAGCCTACAGTGTAAAGTACTTAACTAAAAATAATTTAAAGTAGTATGTCTACTACTTAAGTCGTTTTTGGGGGTATATGCACTTTACTATTTATATTTTTGAAAACTTTTACTTTTACTTCACTACATTCTTAAAGAAAATTATGCACTTTTTACTCCCAACATTTTCCCTGACACCCAAAAGTAGGCTACTCGTTACATTTTAAATGCTTAGCAGGACAGGAAAATTATCTAATTCATGCACTTATCAAGATAACATCCCTGGTCATCCCTACTGTCTCTGATCTGGCAGACTCACTAAACACAAATGCTGAAGTGTGCCCCTGGCTATCCGTTAAGTAAAAAAACAAGAAAGTGTGCCTTCTGGTTTGCTTAATAAAGCAAATTGAAATTATTAATATTTTTAATTTTACTTTTGATACTTTAGTATACTTTGCAATTACAATTAACTTTGATACTTAAGTATATTTAAAACCAAATACTTTTAGACTTTTACTTAAGTAGTATTTTACTGGGTGACTTTCACTTTTGCTTGAGTCATTTTCTATTAAGGTAGGCCTATCTTTACTTTTATTCAAGTATGACAATTGGGTACTTTTCACACCACTGGTAGCCTACAGTTGAAAAACGTAAGTGACTGTGACTGACTGAATGTAAACTTTGTTAATTAGACTAACACAGGTATAATAAAATGCTATTCATTTTAGTGCTTTAGTGTTTCAAAATAAAATTGTCCATTTATCAAATGGACCATCAATCATGATCCATCAATCATGGTTTGTCTGGTAGTCTGGAGAAAATATAATTCACCTGTTGCCCATATGTCATTTAAATCTGTAAATTCCCTCTTCATCCTCGAAACAAGTGTGACAGAGTAGGAACCATAGTTTTGGTCAGCATTTCGCAGGGGAGCCTAATTAGGGCGCGAATAGTTCAAAAGGTATAAAAGCGCCAAAGATGGTGGGTAAATGAAGATAGTTCACTCAGGCACTTTACCATTGAAAAACAATGTCAGTTCTGGACTACTTAACGGGGTCAGTCTCCCATAGACACCAAAGCAATAGCAGCTGGGTCTGGTCTACAGTGGGGGGAAAAAGTATTTAGTCAGCCACCAATTGTGCAAGTTCTCCCACTTAAAAAGATGAGAGAGGTCTGTGATTTTCATCATAGGTACACGTCAACTATGACAGACAAAATGAGAAAAAAAAATCCAGAAAATCACATTGTAGGATTTTTAATGAATTTATTTGCAAATTATGGTGGAAAATAAGTATTTGGTCAATAACAAAAGTTTCTCAATACTTAGTTATATACCCTTTGTTGGCAATGACACAGGTCAAACGTTTTCTGTAAGTCTTCACAAGGTTTTCACACACTGTTGCTGGTATTTTGGCCCATTCCTCCATGCAGATCTCCTCTAGAGCAGTGATGTTTTGGGGCTGTCGCTGGGCAACACGGACTTTCAACTCCCTCCAAAGATTTTCTATGGGGTTGAGATCTGGAGACTGGCTAGGCCACTCCAGGACCTTGAAATGCTTCTTACGAAGCCACTCCTTCGTTGCCCGGGCGGTGTGTTTGGGATCATTGTCATGCTGAAAGACCCAGCCACGTTTCATCTTCAATGCCCTTGCTGATGGAAGGAGGTTTTCACTCAAAATCTCACGATACATGGCCCCATTCATTCTTTCCTTTACACGGATCAGTCGTCCTGGTCCCTTTGCAGAAAAACAGCCCCAAAGCATGATGTTTCCACCCCAAAAGTTTGGACACACCTACTCATTCAAGTTTTGTTTTGTTTTTTTACATTTTTTTACATTGTAGAATAATAGTGAAGAAATCAAAACAATTAAATAACACATATGGAATCATGTAGTAAGCAAGTTCCCACATATGCTGAGCACTTGTTGGCTGCTTTTCCTTCACTCAGCCGTCCGACTCATCCCAAACCATCTCAATTGGGTTGAGCTCAGGGGATTGTGGAGTTCAGGTCATCTGATGCAGCACTCCATCACCCTCCTTCTTGGTCAAATAGCCCTTACACAGCCTGGAGGTGTGTTGGGTCATTGTCCTGTTGAAAAACAAATAATAGTCCCACTAAGCCCAAACCAGATAGGATGGCGTATCGCTGTATAATGCTGTGGTAGCCATGCTGGTTAAGTGTGCCTTGAATTCTAAATAAATCACAGACAGTGTCACCAGCAAAGCACCCCCACAACATCACACCTCCTCCTCCATGCTTTACGGTGGGAAATACACATGCGGAGATCATCCGTTCACCCACACGGCGTCTCACAAATACATGGCGGTTGGAATCAAAAATCTCAAATTTGGATTCCAGACCAAAGGACAAATGTCCACTGGTCTAATGTCCATTGCTTGTGTTTCTTGGTCCAAGCAGGTCTCTTCTTATTATTGGTGTCCTTTAGTAGTGGTTTCTTTGCAGCAATTCGACCATGAAGGCCTGATTCACACAATCCCCTCTGAACAGTTGATGTTGAGATGTGTATGTTACTTGAAGCATTTATTTAGGCTGCAATCTGAGGTGCAGTTAACTCTAATGACCTTATCCTCTGCAGCAGAGGTAACTCTGGGTCTTCCTTTCCTGTGGTGGTCCTCATGAGAGCCAGTTATTATTCTACAATGTAGAAAATAGTAAAAATAAAGAAAAACCCTGGAATGAGTAGGTGTGTCCAAACTTTTGACTGGTACTGTATATCAAACCTATTTTTGATCAAGTTTGTCATCTTACTTTAGTGGTGAGGGGCACAAACTTCAGTAGACTGTTGATCAGCAATCAGCGTCATAACACTATGTTTTGTCTTCTCTGACATAAGGTCTGATTTAAGCTCTAATTTGGGGAAGGGGAAGACAGATGTTTTATATTCAACCAAGATCTCTGTGTGTGTCAGGGATTCAAAAAGTGAAAGAAAGGGTAAATCCACTACAGATTGAGTCTAGGATTGGAATGTATCAGATGCTCAAGTCCTTAACCCAAATGTATAATACTATTATATTGGTTGGATTAACTGCTGTGTTTGCTTAAACGTTCAGGGCTAACCACTGAATGTAGTGAGCCACTACAATACACTCAATACAATACACTGTTTATTTCAATATCGGTGAAGCATCGATAGGAGTTCCTTTGAAAGAGACTGCTTTTTAACATACTATTCTGATATCTATCTAATATCTATAGTACATCTACTAGTAAGTGGGCCAACCAACAGATGTTCTCCATGTCACTTTCAGAAGGACCATGAGAACAAATGCAAGTCTGAAAAAGGATTCAGCTGATGTCCCTTCCAACTACTTTATCAGCTGAGGCAGACAGCAGTACAGGTCACGAGAATACTTTCCACATATAAGTGAATCAGTGCTTCTCCATAAGAACAATATTTCATAGAAGTAATATAGATAACATTGTACTAACGTTTTAACAACCAATATCCTAACTCTGCTTTAATATGAATTTGAGCAGCAACACTTTGTAAAAAATAAATTAGGCAATGTATTATAAGAAACACAGTGCATGATGAAACAGTAACACATTCCCTATTTACAAAGAGTAATTTACATTTACGTCATTTAGCAGACGCTCTTATCCAGAGCGACTTACAGTTAGTGAGTGCATACATTTTTATTTATTTTTCATACTGGAATCGAACCCACAACCCTGGCGTTGCAAATGCCACACTCTACCAACTGAGCTACATCCCTGCCGGCCATTCCCTCCCC